CCCGCAAGGCATCCTGATGGCTCTCCCACTTTCCCCTGACTCTGCTTTTTTCACACAGGCATTTTTTGCCATAAACATCTTGCAGATCTAACACCTAATGAGTAAACCGGGGTACCTGAAGTATCACTAAGGGCCAAGAGGGGTCTGAGAAACAAGCAGAAAGATGGGGTTCTGAGACAAGGTGATTATAAAAAAGATGCTGTTCTGAGTGGTATTTGGGAATCAGTTTCTGGTATCCCACTGCTACAGCGTTTACCGGCAGTAAACACTGGGGCAATCCCAGGGAAGGGGGTTGGCTCTGCAGTTGTCAGGATTCAAGCGCTTGAAAGATCCAGGGGAATAATGCCTGCAAAGCAGCAGGGCGGCCTCCATTGTACTGATGCTGCACAGAAGAATAAGAGAAACTCAGGGCTATTGTCAAGCAGTTAGCGTGCAGCTATGAAAGCCGGAGATCCTGACTGAGAGAAGCCCTCACCAAGTGGGTGAAAGCACAGGGCAGGCAACATACCAAAAGGGGTGGGAAACCCCTCAAAAGGGCAAGACCGTAAATGTTTTAGACTCTGCCGGGCCTGTAAGATCTTCACAGCAATTTGCTTCCTATTTTTATAGCCCTTTAAAAATATAAAAGCCATTCTTATGTCCCCATTCTGCGGGACATAGTGTGACTTCCCTCAAGTGGGGGGTGTGACAGCTGGAAGCAAAGGTACTGGGATGTTCGGGGCCCTCTCTCATGGAGTTTGGTCCCAGCCAGGAGCTGACCCGCTACGGCGCGGCAGCCCTGTCTCGCCTGCTGCTCCCCGTAGCAGTGGATTTTAGAAAATCTCTGCCCAGGTAAAGCTGCTCACGCCCCCACACTCTGGTCTACACCCCAGTTCGCCTAGATATAGGGATGTTTAAATGATAACTCAAGGCAGATATTTAGGCGCTGCTGGGGCTGACGAGGGGAGAGAGCCAGCACACGAGCACCGATGGCAGAGGGGGCGGCCTCTTTCACTGCGACCAGCCATGCACAGTTTTCTTCTATGAAATGTTTCGTCAAATCTTTGACTATTTTACAATTTGGATTGATCCTGTCTTTAGTTGAAACAGATGTTCATAAATCTAGATGAGTATCAGGTAAATTATTTGCAAGTATTTTCTTCAATGTTACTTGCCTTTATTTTAAACTATTATTTGAGGGGGAAGGTTTTAAAATATTGCTGAAGTTAAACACTTTTTTAAAAATGTTTTTTAATGTTTCACGCATGTTGTGTCCTAAGAAATCTTTGGCTCACCCAGTGCCACAGTTCAGATCCTCGGTCCACTCGAAGTTAACGTCAGTATATGCGATGAGAGAGTGTTGAAGTTTTTCTTTCTAGTCAGATATCCACAGATTGCACTGACACTGCTCGCTCTTAGCGGTGCTGTAGCACATGTGGGTCCAATTCTGGACTCTCTACTCTGCCCACTGACTTCCTGGGTGCCGCGATGCACCATAAATGTCAGACTGTGCTGACTCCTGTGGCCTCACTGTGTCTGCAGTGAGATAGGTAAGTCCACTCTTATCCTTCTTTTTCACCGTTATTATAAGTTGGTTGTTCTGTTTATTTTTCCACTCAGCCAGTATATTTCCTTTAAAAATTGCTAAGATCGGCCCTCCCTGGTGGCGCAGCGGGTTAAAGCACAGCACTGAGAATCTGAAGCCACTTCCATTTGAGTTCGATTCCCGCCTGCCGCCTGCCCTGGAGGAGACCACATGGCGAGCCAGACCTCTCCTGACCCGCCCGTTGCTCCCCTCAGCAGTGTACTTCGTCGATCTGCCTGTTCTGCTCCCCACTCTGTCTCTGGTGAAGCCTCTCACCCACCACACCTCTGGCATGCTTGCAGCTCTGCAAGCATAAGTAAATAAATCTTTAAAAAAACATACTGCTGGGCGCAGCGGGTCACAGCATAGCACTGAGAATCTAAGCCACTTCAGCATGAGTTCGATTCCCGCCTGCCGCCTGCCCGGAGGTGACCACATGGCGCGGCAGACCTCTCCTGACCCGCCCGCTGCTCCCCTCAGCAGTGTACTTCATCGATCTGCCTGTTCTGCTCCCCACTCTGTCTCTGGTGAAGCCTCTCACCGCTCTCATAAATAAATAAATAAATCTTAAAAAAAAAAAACCCATACTGCTAAGATTTCAGCTAAGAGTGCACTGAATTCTATACATCAACCTGAGAACTGCCATCTTAACAACGCCGAGTCTTCCCAATTCACAAACCCACCTAGTCCATTTACTTACACATCTATGTTTGCAGTTTTTCTTGTATAAGACATGCTAACAGAATCGAGCAGAATTAGTTTCATTCCCTGACACCATGAAGGGGTATGGAGCAATAGGACATTTGCCCCTACGTGTTTATTATTAAAGAGCTGTGGTTTTCTAGGTGTATTTGATACTCAAAATACCTGTTTTTGTTTCCTGGATTACCTGGGAAACTTCAGAAAGAATTGTCATGTCCAGAGCTGCTTAGGCATGCTGCTATCATTTCATTTGCATAAGCAGTATTGTGGGTAAGTACAGAAAAACATCGACAGAGCTTAGATAGCTCAGTGACCCTGTAACTGTTCTAAACGTCTGTAATTCCAAAGGCCCCATCAGAGGACCTAAGAACAGAGTGAGGACAAAATAAAATGTTACTGCAGGGAACTGCCCACCAGGGGGCATTTGGGAGGTGGAGCCCTGCCCAAGAGGCAAACCCCCTGTGGAAGGAGGCCCCCAATAACAGCTTCTCCCTGGTTATGGAAGTCAGCCCTCACAAGCATTTGGCTATCACTGCATCCCCGGGCAGAAGAGGGACCGAGCCGGGGAAGCAAGGACTCCAATCACACATCATGGTGGTGGCTGTGGAGTGGCTCGATGTGGTCTCTACTTTGCCACAGAAGCCTACAGCTCAAGAGCTGGCATAGCTTGTCTATAAAGAGCCAACAGTGTATATTTCAAGCGTAGCAAGCCGTAAGGTCTCTGCCACAACTACCTGTACGTCAATAAACGAAGCTGCGTCCCAATAAAACTTTATTTGCAAAAACAGCAGACAGGCCAGACTTGGCCTGGGGTTGCAGTCTGCAGACTCCGGCTCCAGATGGAAACATTCGTTCCACAAGGGCCACAAGCCATGGAGGGCTGAGTTCTGAAGCTTCTCCTTTTCAGACCTTCGAGGCATTCTTCACTATTTTCATCTCACTCACTCTGCTGATCATGATTTCACTCTCGGTTCCTCTCCTAGTTCCTGCCTCTTCCAGAGAGCCGACCCTCTCTCCCTGACACCAGCCTAGCTGTGCTTATCAGTACTGAAAGGCAGGCTCCACACTGTTTCCAAACTGACTCAAGAGGACCAGCTCAGGAAAAACAAGGTAGTCCCCCACACACACATGCTAGAGAAAGCGGCTTCACGAGATTCCGAAGCGGAAGCACAGTGGAGGACCCCCGCTTCACAGGACAGTGTAAAGCTCAGCGAAGAAGCGGTCCAGCCTTTCAGCTGCAGAGGCACTGCGCGCAGACAACTGTGTGTCTTTCCAGTCTCCGGCCTTCACTCTCTGCAACGCCTCGGCACCAAGTCCTCTTTCCTGTCCATTACCCCTTTCATCTTTCCAGCAGGGACTGCGGAGGACAGGCTGCCGCTCAGAGCTTAGGCGACGTGTCCACTCGCCTTCCCTTGCCTTTCCCTCTCTCCTCTCTGTTGATCCCTGGCCTCCAGCAAACCCGCACACCCGGGAGCAGCTGTGGAGTCTTCTGCTGATGGTCCTGGGGGCTCTCTTCCGGTCAGGCTCTGGCCGGCTGGCCTGCGCTGGCCGTTGGGTGAGACCCTTTCTGGGCGGCCAAACAAGGCCTGGTGCTCTCGGTCTCAGGCTCCTCCTAACTGCTTTACGGGTAACTCTCTCCCGGGACTCATCTGCTTTCTTAGTAGTATAATATTCTCTACTGTTTCGCTGATTACTAATAATCACTTTTGGGGCTCCCTGGTGGCACAGAGGTTAAATCACAGCACTAGGAAGCTGTCCACAGCCACTGCAGCACGAGTTCCATCCCCGGCCAGGGAGTGACCACAGGGCGCGGCAGACCCCTCCTGTCTCCAGGCTGCTCCCCTCCCCATAGTGTACTTCAGTGAATCCACCTGTTCTACTCCCCACTCTGTCTTTGATGAATCCTATCAGCCCCCGCCCCCCTTTCCTCTGGCCTACACCTCAGCTCTTCTATGCAAAACCAAAATCTCTAAAAGAAAAAAAAAATCACTTCTAAAAAATCTTAGGATGTCTGCTGAATGTTACATTAATTGATATCATTTTGTGTATATGAATTCTGAAAGTTAGTTTTACTTCCTTACTGTCTCTATTTCTGCCTGTATCTCCTTTGAATGGACATTATTTATTGAGTTCCTTCCATCTGCCAATATTCTTTCTGCAATCTCCTGTGTATTCTGCTCTTTCTTCAACACATTTTAAAAGTACACTATCTAAAGTGGGGTCCCTCCCTGCTCACACCACTGCATTATTTGGGCATAGTTATTTCTTTAAGAATCTCTATTAGGCCCTCCCTGGTGGCGCAGCGGGTTACAGCACAGCACTGAGAAGCTAAAACCGCTTCCACATGAGTTTGATCCCCGCCTGCCCCGGAGGTGACCACATGGCGCGGCAGACCTCTCCTGACCCGCCCGCTGCTCCCCTCAGCAGTGTACTTCGTCCATCTGCCTGTTCTGTTCCCCGCTCTGTCTCTGGTGAATCCTCTCACCCTCCGCATCTCTGGCCTGTACCCCAGTTCTATATGAATAAATACATCTTTGAAAACAAAACAAAACAAAAAAGAATCTATATTAATTCTCCTATGTCCCGTTGGTTGGCTAATTCACATATCTGTCCTAAGATTTTCACCAAGCAGTCTCAGCTGAGAACATTTTTAATTTCGGGTAAGGATTTTCCTAATTATAAGGCGCTGGAGTCACACAGAGTCTGCTGAATGAAGCTTCTTAGCCCCACTTACCTCTGCAATCAGATCATGTAGCTCTCTTTCACTAGGGCAGCATCCTAATGACCTGATAATTGTTCCAATCTCTCTGGGAAATAAAACAGTCAAATTTTAGAACAAAATCTCTGGAAAGGTAAATGATATGTTTCCCCAAATTATTTCAGAGCAGACATAGCACCGCAAACAAAGTCAGTCAATAAATGCATTGCCTTGTGAGGACAAAAGGTACTTTCCAGAGGAAGGAGAAGCAGACGAGTGAGCCAAAGAGAAGAAAGAAGTGTTTGCCTCGACTGGCAAGAGCAGGCCCTGCCTGGGTCAGAACCAGAGTTCTAGAAAAGGAAAAGGAAGGAGGAAGGAGGAAGAGAAGGAATTTCAATGACATCGTTAACTCTTTTGAGCCTGACTATCCAGAGGCCGTAACACTGACCCCAGAGCTGTGGGGTAAACCACAGCGCCCAGATTGGGCTGGGGATACTCTGGGGCCAAACATGGG